CATGCGTGCCGCGGGGAATGCCGGGAGCGCGCAGTGGCGGTAGCGGCGGCGACGGCAGTCACAGCGGCGGCTACAACGGGGACGCGAGCGGGGCGGTGACCGTGTGGGAGGTGGTCTCACTCTTGGGGAAGCTGTTAGGCACCGTCGCCGCGCTGAAGGTGGTTCTGTACCTGCTCCGGGTGTGCTTAGCGATGGCCTGGAAATCCGGCGGCGCCAGCCACTCGGAGCTAATCCACAACCTCCGCAGTAAGTGCCACCCCCGCCCGGTGTGGGGCCACTGGGGAAGGCCAGGCCTGGACCGGGTCCCCCTGGGCCGCCCGGAACATTCTGTCTACCCCCCCGTGCCTGCCGGAGGGCGTCGGCGCAGGGTTGCACCAGCGGTTCTGAACGGTGTGCGCTTGCGATCGCCTCCCCCGGGACCTGTCACTCATCGGCGATGTGGAAGGGAACCGGGGAGAAGGAGCCAGGGGCCTCTGCTGGTGGGGCAGGGGCAGGCGTTTCCCCGCGGGCCTAGGGGAGGGGGCGCGGCACAGGTTGTGGGGCTGTCAGTTGAGTCCGCCGCCTGCTCGTCCGCGTACAGCGGGCGAGGGGAGTGCCCTGGAGGTGGGATGTTGGCTGGGCCTCCTTGAGTCTGGGCTGTAGCTGAGGGGACCCCACCCTCGACCCCCGCGTCTTTTCACCTCCTCCTCTGTCTTAATCGACCGAGCTGCAAGCTTTCTCCCCTATTCTGCCTCCCCCGCCCTCCGTTTTTTCCTCTGGCGGGAGATGCCACCGTCTGATACTGGCGAGGGGAGGGAGAGGGAGATGAGAGTATTGTTGCGGATGCTGAGAGAAATTTCTGGGGCGGCTGTCCAGTGGAAAGCTTCACGGGGGCCGGAGGAAGAAATAATCAGGGGATGCTGTTCCCGAGAGACTTGTATTTCAGGAGCCTTTACAGGTCTTGGGATCCAGCAAACGATTTTGTGTGTGGAATGTTCTTTTTTCAGGGCTACCATATGCTTTAAAAGCCTTGTATGGAAGTTTCTTTACACCATTCACTTTAGTTATTGTATTCCTTCCTCTGATGATAATTTTAGGGTGGGACGAGTGCTGTGTCACTTTCTTTTTTTAAATCGAAATACAGTGTTGTCGTCTAGTCGGGAGACCAGAAGGACCGCAGTCCGTAATAATTTCACTCTGGTCAGAATTTATAGCTTTCTTCTTTGCCACTGACACTGCAAATAATAATACCCTGCCATGTGACATTTTTAATTGTTATAGATTATTTAGCTTTTCATGTGTTTGTCATGTTACCTAATTCGATTTGTAACCTCCTTGAGGCCTGGGACTTTTCTTGAATCCTCTCAAAACTTAAAAATCATTCCTTTTTTTTATAAATGCCTATTAAATGTGTATTATATGTTTGGATCTGTGCTAGGAATATCAAGATTAGTGAGAGAAGTAAATAGCATTGTCTGGTACATGGTTAATGCTTAATATTCATCATTTGACTTTTTTTCAAAACAATATTTAAAACTTGGAAATTGTGTCCTTAATGTTTAGTAATGAAGAATGTTTAGATTTTAAAATTCTGTCAAGCATTGCCAGTATTCATTTTATGGAAGAATATTTGAAAGTGGAAGTTTATGTGCTGAGACAATATTATCATGACTTAGGTTCCCATGGATTGCACATAAGCTCAATATATTATAAATATTTGTATAAAAAATTTTGAAATGATCTAGTGCCCGCTGTTGCAGGATACACACCTGAAACATTCTGTGCTTGAATTGTGATTAAGTAATTTTCCACTGGTAGGTTATCACAGTAGACACTTGGCTGTAGCAGAAATTTGTAATCAATCAGGCTCTTAAAGTCTCTCCTTTTTGGGTCGAATTTGTAGTAAGCCAAGACTAGATCTTCTCCCAGTGGTTTTATAATCACTTTAATGTATTGCATTACTATTCTTAGATGAAATATCTAAGGATTTTTTTAATCAGAAAATTTAATGAGAAATATTTAACATACATGGGTGTTGATAGTGCACAATTTAGTTTTATACTAGGTCTATGACTGGTAAGAGGAAGTAAGAGGAAGTGAGAGTAAATAAATTGTTTAGCCTCTTTTGTAACACTCTTGCAGCTTTTGTTTCAACACTTTGCTGAATTAATTCTAGCTAATAGATTTCATTTTATTTATTAATTTATTGTAAAAATAATGTTTGCTCATTTGAAAATTTCAATTAGCACAAATTGAAAATTTTTCACTCTTTACTGATTATTCCGCCTTTATATATTCTTCCTAACTTAAAGGCTTCTAACTGATTCTTTAGAAAAAGATTAAAACATGATTATGCTGATATTGAAGTGAAAAGGGATCTGCAAACTGAAAGAAAAGCAAATTACAGTTTTAATTTTTTTCATGAAAAAAGTTCATGATTGGTTTCATTTTAATATTGTTATATTTTTTTGAAAATATCTACTCGGTTTTTTAAGACAAAAATATAATTGTTTATGATTTCATAGTTAATATATCATTTATTGATTGTTTTAGACTGTAATGGTACATCTCATAGTAAGTCATAGTTTATGCTTTGATGATAACTGCTCTTAAGTAACTGAGAACAGTGGTCTAAAACTTG